CTGCCCTCCCTCACCTACTCCCCTCCCTCCCCTACCCACTCCCTCCCCTACCCACTCCTGCCAAACCCACCACCCCCCCCACCCACACGCCACTCATCCCTCCCCCGAACCCACACCCGTCAAACCCACCCCCTTCCTTCACAGCCCTCCCTCACTCCCTCTTCTTCCCCGCAGACATCCGCAACATGGAGCACGTGCCAGGAAGGAGCATCAACCTGGCCATGAGCATCAGAGGTCGGACGGGACTCAAGGCGGTCGGGGTCGAAGAGAAGATCATCCGAGAGCATGGCATTCCTATGTACGCGCGCATGATCCACAACAGGGACGGGAGCACCAAGGCCATTCCCTACAACAAGGACGGGAAGGTGGGTGTGCGGGGGTTGGGCGAGGGTTGTGCATGTGTGGGTTTGATTTTTTTTTTTTTATGTCGTCTTGTCTCTGTTTTTTTCTCTTTCTCTCTTTCTCTCTACTATCTTTCTCTCTTTGTCTCTCTCTCTTTCTTTCTCTCTCTTCTCTCTCTCTTCTCCTACTCTCTCTCTACTCTCTCTCTCTTCTCTTCCGTCTTCGTTCTCTCTCTCTCTCTCTTCTCTCTCTCTCTCTCTCTCTCTTCTCTCTCTCTCTCGGATTTTCCTTACATCTCAGCTGCTTGCTCTCCACCAGTCCATCCTCTCTGATACCTCAGTCTTACCATTTATTTATTGTATTTTCGTCACACAAGCACTCGCGAGTGGAAGCAGCGTGTTAAATTCCTTCTCTATTGTCGCACTCTCTAGTCACGAGGTTGCTTGGTGTGAGAACTTTGCATACCGGGAAAAATGATGTAGATAAATGTGAATGAGAATGTTTCATCATACTGGGAATTTCTCTCTTTCTTCCTCTCTCTGTTATCTCTCTCTCCTCTCTCTCTCTCTCTCTCTCTTCTTTCTCTCTTCTCTCCTTCTCTCTCTCTCTCTCTCTCTCTCTTTCTCTTCTCTCTCTCTCTCTCTCTCTCTCTCTCTCTCTCTCTCTCTCTTCTCTCTCTCTCTCTCTCTCTTCTCTCTTTCTCTCTCTCTCTCTTCTCTCTCTCTCTCTCTCTCTCTCTCTCTCTCTCTCTCTCTCTCTTCTCTCTCTCCTCTCTCTCTCCTCTCTTCCTCTCTTCTTCCTCTCTCTTTCTCTCTCTCTCTCTTCTCTTTCTCTCTCTTCTCTCTCTCTCTCTTCTCTCTCTCTCTCTCTCCTCTCTTCTCTCTATCTCTCTCTCTCTCTCTCTCTCTCTCTACCTCTCTCTCTCTCTCTCTCCTTCTCTCTCTCTCTCTCTCCTTCCTCTCTCTCTTTCTCTCTCTCTCTCTCCCTCCTCTCTCTCTCTCTCTCTTCCTCTCTCTCTCCTCTCTCTTCTTCTCCTCTCTCTCTCTCTTTTCCTACATCTCAGCTCTTTGCTCTCCACCATCCATCCTCTCCCTGTACCTTCACTCTACCATTTCATTTCCTCTTCCTCACTCACAAGCACGCGAGTGAAGCAGCGTGGAAATTCCTCTCCCTCTTCTGTATTTTTCACTTCTAGTTATCGATTGCTTGGGGAACTTTGTTCATACCGGGAAAAATGATGTAGCCTATAAATATGAAATAGAAATGGTTTCATCTCATCTACTAGAGAATTCTCTCTCTCTTTTTCTTCTTTCCTCTCTCCTCTCCATTACCTCTCCCTCTCTATCTCTATCTCTCCCTCCCCCTCCCCCTCCCCCTCTCCTCTCCCTCCCCTCTATCCCTCTCCCTCTCTCTCCCCTCTCCCTCCCCTCCCTCCTCCCCTCCTGCCTCTCCTCTCTCCCTTCTTTTCTCTTTCTTTTTTTTTCCCGCCCTCCCAGAAGTAAACGCTTCGTCCCCCCAACCCCTTTCCTTCCCTCCCAAGGTCCTTATATAGACCTTGTTCCCAACCCAAAAAATAATCAGCGTCATCTCCGCGCAGTGCGCAGTGCCATCTACTCTGTCGGTCGACGTTTCGTGAACGATTGGGTACTGCTGACGCGCGCCGAGGAGTTTCCAATGTCACCATTTCACTTCCACCACAAACTCCTCACCGCGGATCTCGAGAGGGGAAAGATGACCTTTTTAGAGTAAGTGCTCTGCTAATTGTTTGATAATTTCTGTTTAATTTATATTGATAAATTGTGGTGTATAATGAGATGTAAGGTAATTATTAATATTATATAATTATTTTATAATTATAATATATATTATTATATATATTTATTATTATATATATGTATATGTATTATTTTCTTTTCTTTTTCTTTTTGCGGGATTATTCGATAGACTGTGTATCCGGATATTCAGGATACAGGAACTAATCTCCAAGTAAAAAAAACAAAAACAATAGTAAATGTATGCACAGACTCACGTACGCACCCAAGTACCCATTGTCAGCATCGTAGAGCTTCTCTATTCTCCTGTCATCACTTCCAGCACGATGTCCCAAGATGAAGTGACCGTCGATGCGGATCTGATGATCGGCTGCGACGGCGCTTACTCCAACATGAGGAAACAGATGATGAAGCGACCGATGTTCAACTACAGGCAGCAGTACATCCCTCACGGCTACATGGAGCTCTGTATCCCGCCAGGATCGGATGGGAATGTATGATTCTCTCTTCTTGTAGTGCGTGCAGGCGGTGGTAGAGTTAGCGGTTGAGTTTTACAATGGATTTACAATTGATTTATTTGAGAGAATTTAAGGCGCGGGAGGCTCAAAAAAGATCATCCCGATTTTATGAGCAATGCGTGTTTTTTTTTCTTAGGATATATGCCCGATTAAATGGCGGTGCATCTTGTGTGCTGTCAGATAAAGCAATAAACATGCCAGCCGTTCCAAATTGATTTTAAACTCCATAGTCCTAAATCAAAAAAAGTTTCATCATTTCTTTTCGCCGAGTTGACGATTTAATTAATGAGTGATTTTTTCTGGTCTCCAACCCACAGTTCCAGATGCCTCCGAATTACCTGCACATTTGGCCAAGAGGACAGTACATGATGATCGCGCTGCCGAACCAGGACAAGTCATGGACCGTCACGCTCTTCATGCCCTTTGGAATCTTCAATTCTCTCGACACGCCAGAAGTCCTGTTAGACTTTTTCAAGGTGAGTGGATGGAGGGGTCTGTGGACTTGAGATTTGGACTGGGTCTTTCATTCGCATATTTTTAGGTCACACGTTACAAGGAAATTATTGATGAAGTAAAATGAAAATGAAACGTCACAAGGGTCACAAAGACGAATATTTCATGCTTGGAAGCACCTGATTGACCAAAAGAAAACGACAAAACAAACAGAACAGCTACAACAATATTTCCACCTTATAAAAAAAAACGCAAATATTAATCCACAAAGTGATACTATTCCACCAAAATAAACTTATTTCCAAAGCAACAGTTCACGTCCTAACACCACCATCTATACGGATAATAGCCGTCCTAACACCACCATCTATACGGATAACAGAACAGAAACCCTCCTTCTTTCCAGACAAATTACCCAGACGCCATAACGCTCATCGGGCGAGAGAAACTCATCCACGATTTCTTCGCAAACAAGGCGCTGCCGATGATCTCCGTCAAGGTAATGCAGATTTTTTTTTCTTTTCTTAGAAATGGTTTCATTCATACTGGGGAATTCTCTCTCTCTCTCTCTCTCTCTCTCTCTCTCTCTCTCTCTCTCTCTCTCTCTCTCTCTCTCTCTCTCTCTCTCTCTCTCTCTCTCTCTCTCTCTCTCTCTCTCTCTCTCTCTCTCTCTCCTCTCTCTCTCTCTCTTCTCTCTCTCTTCTCTCTCTTCTCTCTCTCTCTCTCTCTCTTCTCTCTTCTTCTCTTTTTCTCTCTCTTTTTTCTCTTCTTTTCTCTCTCCTCTCCTCTTTTCTCTCTCTCTCTTCTCTCTCTCTTCTCTCTCTCTCTCTCTCTCTCTCTCTCTTTCAATATTATATATATATATATATATATTATATATATATTATATTATATTATATATTAATATATCCCTCTCCCTCCCCCTCGCTATCTCTTCCTTTCCATCCTTCTCCCTCTCTCTCTCTTTCAGATCTCCTTTTTCAATATTTCTAGCACATTTATTTTCTTGCCATTATTACTTACTTACTTCATTCTCTATCTTGACATGAAGATACATATATTTGTCATATTGTTGTCAGATGCATTATCAAGTAAGATGTATATAGCGAGTTATTATAATGATAAGAACAATGATAATGATGATGATAATAATGATAATGTTAGAATGATAATGTATTAATGATAATAATAACTACAATAAGAATAATAACAGTAATGCTGAAAGTAATAGTTGTAATAGTAGTAGTAATTATAATTATATTGATTATAATAGTAATAATAATAACGATAATGATGATAATGATTATAATAGTACAGAACATCGTAAATAGAAACAAACAAACAAAACAAAAAAAACAGGCGACAACTTATGCTGATAACTCCATGATTTTTCTGTCACTTCGACGTAACTTCAGCGAGTTAAACGTAAAAGGATTTGAACTTCCCTTCCCTCCTTCAAGTGTAAAGACGGATGTTTTGAAATACCACTACAACAACTAACACAACTACTACTACTTCAATATTTTTTCCCACTGCTCACACTACGAGTAACAACGATATCACAACAAAAGATACAGCAAAAGTAATGCGGAATTTCTACCCTTTCCCAGTGTTCTCCGTACCACGTTGGCTCGACCTCCCTGCTCATGGGTGACGCTGCCCACGCCATGGTGCCCTTCTACGGCCAGGGAATGAACTGCGTAAGTCGTCTGTCTGTCTGTCTGTCTGTCTGTCTGTCTGTCTGTTCTCTGTCTCGGAGGATTTTTTTCAAGCATGGGTGACTGACATATATATATTTATATATATTATATATATTATATATTATATATTATATATATATATATATATATATATATATATTATATTATATATAATATATATATATATATATTATACATATATATATATATATATTATACATATATTATATATATGTATATAATATTATATATATTATATATATATATATATTATTATATTATACTATATATTTATATTTATATATTATATTATAACATTATATATCTATCTATCTATCTATCTATCTATCATATCTATATATATATATATGTGTGTGTGTGTGTGTTGTGTGTGTGTGTGTGTGTTGTGTTGTGTGTGTGTTGTGTGTGTGCATATGTGTCATGTGCATGTGTGTGTGCTATGTGTGATTGTTGTGTGTGTAATAATATATATCATATATGTCAACACCAACACACACACACACACACACACACACACACACACACACACACACACACACACACACACAATCACACACAATCACACACATACACATATACACACACACACACATGCACACACACAATACACACACACACACACACACACACACAAACACACAACACACACACACACACACACACACACACACCACACACCACACACACACACACACACACCACACACAACACATTACATATATATATATATATATATATATATATATATATTATATATATAATATATATATTATATATATGCCGAGAGGGAGACCGAGAAAGAAAGAAAAGTGATTTAACACATTCATACTTTCATATCCAAACATTACGAAAACAAATAACTATTTTCATTCCCTCAACCAGGGCATGGAAGACTGCGTTTTTCTGAAAGAAATTATGGACAAATACGAGAGCGACGAACGAAGGTGTTGCCCGCGTACTCCGAGCACCGGAACCCAGACGCGGAGGCGATCGTGGACCTCGCCATGTACAACTACATCGAGGTTGGTGGGATGGTGCGTCTCTATTGTAGTTTCCGTTGTGAGTGTTATTGCTTGGTTCGCGGTGTCTATTGTTTGTAGTTTGTGTGTTTCCGTTGTGGTTATTTGCTGTATTGACTGGGGCATTACATTAATTGGATTTTCCTCTTGGGTGTTTTATCTGCATTGCGGGCGATGCTCACGAGGGATAATTTTTTTTTTTTTTTTTTTTTTTTTTTTTTTAATCATCTGTGCAAAGAGAGAATTACATGAACATGGTGGTTCATGGAGAATCCCATTCATTAATATTACGGCGGTGTGTTCTCCCCCGTCGACGAATAACAATACCCTCCCTTATCTCCCTCCCCCTCTTGCGCCCCCAGATGCGAGACCTTGTCAACTCCAAGCTGTTCCTCCTGCGTAAAAAATGGGACGACCTCCTGAGCCGCCTGCTGCCGAGGACGTGGGTGCCGCTCTACACGATGGTGACCTTCTCGAGGGAGCGCTACCACCTCTGCATTGCCAAGAAGAGGTGGCAGGACGAGGTCGGTTGGGGCACTGTGACGTTGTTTTATAATACTGAAATTGTTCCAGGAGTATTTGATATACCTATGAAGATATTTGTCGCTTGTAGAAATGTAATATACCTGTCTTGCAATAAAGGGCTGGTATAACATCAAACAAACACACATAAAGCACGTCCACACACACCTCAGAAAATCAAATTCATTGTGCCACCCTCATCTACCGCTGTCTTACAATCAACGAAATCCCAAACCAAAAAGTATGCAGACGCCCTTTCATTACCATCTCACTCTTCTGTCATCGTGCTTCCGCTCGTCCTCAGATGATCGGGAAGCTGGTGAAGGTCTCTGCCGTTGCTGGAGTCATCCTCGGGTTCTTTGCCGCCAAGACGCAGGCAGCCCACGCCTTCTCCCATTCGCTGGTCACTCACCTGAACAGCATCACGACGAAAACGCTCGACATTGCTATGCGCTGAGGTGTTTTTAGGTGGATCACAAGATTTTTTTTTATTGAATTGAGAACAAGAGATTTTTATAAGTGGCGTGAGATGTTTAGGCAGTGAATTCTTTATACAGTAAAAATTTCTTCAAGAAGAAAATCATTCTCGTAAGTAGCAAGTAGGTTGTCGTTTTTTTCAGGCAGTTAGGGTTGATCTATTTAGGCTGTGTTGAAGACTTTGCTGCCTAAAATGTTTCATGCAAAAACGACTTTTATTATTGTTGCATTTCTTACCATGACATTATCTTGACAAAATGACTTTTTCTTACTGTTGATATTCTTGTATGGCTACTGAAAAAAATCAGTCATTATTGCGTCTTTTTCAGCAATTTACCATTTTTTCCGTTTTGAAAATCTGTTATGAATGCAGTAAGATAGGTGTATGACTATTTTTACTTGTAGCATTTGTACTTTTGAATTAAACTGAGTAATGTACTTGTAACAATTTATTTATTTTCCAATACAAAAATGATGTAAAGTATATTTGTAAGTCTTATCTGGCTACTTTTTTATCTTCAACTCTCTCTCTCTCTCTCTCTCTCTCTCTCTCTCTCTCTGTCTCTCTCTCTCCTCTATCTCTCTCCTCATCGCCTCTCTCTCTCTCTCTCTCTCTCTCTCTCTCTCATCTCTGTCTCTCCTCCTCTCTCTCTCCTCTCCCTCTCCCTTCTCCTCT